CCCCCCCCGGGCCCCCGGCTCCCTGAGCCCCGCCCCCCGCCCCCGCCAGGAGGCCTACCCCTGCCCCCGCTGCCTCCCACGGGGCCAGCACCCTCAGGTCCCCCTGGGCCTCCGCAGCTGCCCCCACCAGCCCCTGGGGTCCATCCCCCAGCTCCAGTGGTCCACCCTCCCACATCGGGGGTCCACCCCCCAGCTCCCGGGGTCCACCCCCCAACATCGGGGGTCCACCCTCCCGCTCCCGGGGTCCACCCTGCAGCTCCCGGGGTCCATCCCGCAGCTCCTGGGGTCCACCCCGCAGCTCCTGGGGTCCACCCCGCAGCTCCCGGAGTCCACCCCGCCGCTCCCGGAGTCCACCCTGCAGCTCCAGGGGTCCACCCTCCCCCATCAGCGGGCGTTCACCCCCAGGCGCCGGGGGTACACCCACCAGCCACTGCAGTTCACCCCCAGGCCCCGGGGGTGCACCCACAAGCCCCAGGGCTCCACCCTCAGGCACCAGGGGTCCACCCCCAGCCTCCTGGGGTCCACCCAGCCCCTGGGGTACATCCTCCAGCTCCTGGGGTCCATCCACAGCCCCCTGGAGTTCACCCCTCAAATCCCGGGGTGCACCCTCCAGCCCCCATGCCCCCAATGCTGAGGCCCCCACTCCCTTCCGAAGGCCCCGGAAACATTCCACCCCCTCCCCCGACCAACTGAACTGCTGCCCCCTTGGCATGTCCGGCCTCCGTGTTCTGCGTGTTCCCATGGAGAAACTCGTTTTTACTGTCCCCAGAGTTCAGTAAACAGCCTCCCCACCTGTCTGTCTCTGTGTGTGGGGGGGCCTGGGGTTGTCGGCAGAGACAGGTGGGTGGTCTTAGAGGGGGAGCCAGGTGGAAACAGGGCGCCACAGCCCCGGGTGGGTACAGCGCCGCCGGCCAGCTCCACTCCTCCCACTGCCCACATCGGGGAGAGCTCAAGGCCAGCCCCTGGGCCAGACGTGCTGGGACAGAGAGCCCTTTGAGAAGGCTGTCCCCAAGGCCACTGCAGGAGATAGGGGCACTCCGGCCCCTGTATATGATGCCGGGGCACCCAGGCCGAGGCATTCAGGATGCAGGACACCCCCCGCTTCCTGGTGCTGCTACTGCTGGCCACCGTGGCCCCGCCGGAGGTGGCCGGCTCCCACAGAGGGTGGGGTGGGGTGCCGAGCAGCCCATGGGGCCCCGTGTGCCTGGTGCCGACGGACAGGGGCAACAGTGGGAGTGGCGGTCCCCTTAAGGCCATGGGGGTCCTGAGCAGCCATGAGCAGGCCTTCCTGAGGGCTGTGGGGCGTGCCCACTGGGGCCCCGGCGACCTGGCCACCTTTGGGATCTGCAACCCCGGTGACAAGCAGGCCGCCCTGGCCTCCCTGTGGCAGCTGGGATCCTGGCTGGGGGACCCCAAGGGGCGGGAGCTGCTGGTGCTGCACCTGGAGGAAGGTACGGGGACCCGACGGCACCGGGCAGGCACCTGTGCAGTGCCCAGGTCTGCTCCCCCAGCCTGGGGAGGGGGCAGGGTGGGGCTGGCTGGGCCCCCGCATCAGGAAGTGGGGCACTGAGCCGAGACCCCCGTGGGCAGGGCTCGACACCCAGAGCCAGTGGTGGGAGGGGTTGCCACAGCCCCCCTGGGCTCCCACACCTTCCACCCACCGAGGTCCAGGGCACTCTGGCTCAGGTGGGGGCTCTCCCGCGCAGTGACGTGGGAGCCGACGCCCTCGCTGAGGTTCCAGGAGCCCCCGCCTAGAGGAGCCAGGTCCCCGGAGCTGGCGCTGCTGGTGCTATACCCTGGGCGCGGCCCCGAGGTCACTGTCACCGGAGCCAGCCTGCCCGGGATCCAGGTACGGGAGTTGGGTGGGCAGGGCAGCCCTGGAGCCTGGCAGTGGAGGGGAGGGGTCTGCCTAGCTGAAAGGTTGCCCCCCGTCGCGTCTGGAGCTCCCGAGGAGGTAGGAGCCCACAGCGCCAGGCTGCGCGTGGCGCACCCTCGGCCTATCTGAACCCCATCCCCCAGAGCCTCTGCCAGACCCAGGACACCCGCTACCTGGTGCTGGCCGTCGACCACCCGGCGGAGGCCTGGCACGGTTCCGGGCTCGCCCTGACCTTGCGGGCCC